GCACCAACTAGTAATAAATACATTGTTGCGCAGGCCCCATATTTAGATGTTCTGGAGTCCCGCAAACTCAGAAGGGCTTACACTTTGGCTAGATGCTCTGCCTTACCTTCTGCAGTTCTTGAGGGCAAATTTTAAAAATTACCCCGAACAGAGAGGTTATGTATGTGCGCGTTGGGGGAGATCGAATCTCAGGAGCATGTATTCTTAAGGTGCCCGTTATTTGAAGAGGCGCGCACAAAACTCATTGAGCCTTTTTTGGCAGGCACTTCTGATCAGGATAAGATGGAAAACTTGTTTTTTAACCTTGAACATACAGCGCTCCATCAGATTGCGAAATTTTGCTCCTTGGTTATAAAAGCTCATCAGTGCCCTGGTTGTCACTCGGGTTAGGACTGTTTGATTGTAACTTTTACTGTTTCCAAGTCATCTTAGTTCTTTCCTTTTATTGTGTTTTATTGTAATCTTAAGTCTGGTTTTAGCTACCAAAATGATTGTATAATGTTATTTTTTAGTACCTAGTTGCACTTTGGAAATTTTACTATTAGGCCATTGTAGTTTATTTGTATTTCTATGGTTTTATATTGCTGGCTAGGTGCCGTAACAATAAAATTCAAAATTCAGTAATGGGGTGACTGCTGGCACCTTTTCCTATTATTTTTTTTTGCCTTGTGGTATTCTGCTTGTGGTGTGATCTGTCTTCTTTGTGATGTGGCATGATTGTGTTATTGGGTTTGTTTCTTTTGAAGGGGAAGTGATGTGAGTGAGGACATATTTTACATCAGAATACAGTAGGTTCCATATGCAACTGACAGTTCTAACTGTCTCGGGGGGGGGCGTTTGAGGTGTGGAATGAAGTCCAATCAGCTTCCATATGCAAAAGACCTTGAAACGCTGGGCGGGACTGCACAAAGCAGCCAGTCAACCAAGCCAGCGTCTTCTGACTGACAGTTTTTGCGGCCAAACACTAAAGGTGTGCATTTGGAATGTTGGAGCCCACTACGGCTTTATATATAAGGGAGAGATAGTGTAGGTAGGGCTTGACATCTGGATCAGAACCTGAAACCAAATACTTCCACTCCCCCACCATTTGCTGCACTATAAACTGGGTTTGGCTTCTGAGGGAAGAGACATTTGGGAGTCAGTGTTTTCTGATAGGCAATAGTCAGAAAAGTACTTCTACAGAGAGAAGAATAGAAACCCCATTATCTTAGATATATTAAAATTGCTTTGAGGGAGAACTTTAGATTCTCAGGAAAGCTACAGAACAACCTTATACAGACAAAGGATACTGGAGAAGGATTTGGCAGAAGGTCTGGGTAGTCAGCGTGAACTCCCATAAAGCCAAATAGTAAAAGGAGTTATTGCTTCTTAGGGACAAGGAGAATAACTTCCTGCCAATGAAAGGGGTTGGGAAGAGAGCCCTGGTCTGTGATAAACGGGAGATGCTTAGACACCTCAGGAGTGAATGAAAAACTGTATTATCAAAAGGAAAACCTGTAATATCTGAAGGAAGCAATCTAGAAACATAAATAAGAACTGTGTTGTGCTGAAATATACTAATCAAAGTACCTGTCAAAGAAAAATAGAAAGCCTTGAAACAAAACTACAAATACAGTCCCTTGAATGTTCTAAGAATTCAGCTATGTATATAGTAGAAAGTCTTTTACCTCTTTAATCTCAAAACCTTGGCTGTTCCATTTATACATATATTCCCTGCCTGTCTAATAAAATCTTTATTCTATTTTTGAAAGTTAATTTGCCTCATGCCATTTCTCAAGGGTTTACAAAACTGGACAGCTTCTGTATTTTCAGTAGAGTTCCTGAACTGAGAAAAAGCCTAAACTACAAATCTCAAACATAGGCCCAATCTGCATCTAGCATTTGCTCTTTTGTTGTACCAAGCCCACACTGGAACAGAAAAAGATGCGGCTCCAAACCACATTCAAATACCCCTGGCCAATGCCGTACTGACTGTAGAGTCACCCTTGAAGGGCCATAAAATGGCCATAAATCTATGCAGACAGCCACCATAAAAACCAAGATA